TGGCAGTGAAGGACGGATTGGGCCCGCGGCCCGTATCCCAGACTGCCAAACGTCACTTTCTGAACCGACTAGAAACTAGCTCCAAACCTTGACTTTTCCTGCGTTTCTGCACTGCCAACTGCCACCCTGCTCGTGTCCTCCTGGAGCCGGCTTTCGTTCTGCACCGCTTCGGTCCAAGCTGGAGTCCAAGGACCGTGTCGCAGGGCTAAAACACCATGGCAGTGAAGGACGGATTGGGCCCGCGGCCCGTATCCCAGACTGCCAAACGTCACTTTCTGAACCGACTAGAAACTAGCTCCAAACCTTGACTTTTCCTGCGTTTCTGCACTGCCAACTGCCACCCTGCTCGTGTCCTCCTGGAGCCGGCTTTCGTTCTGCACCGCTTCGTCCAAGCTGGAGTCCAAGGACCGTGTCGCAGGGCTAAAACACCATGGCAGTGAAGGACGGATTGGGCCCGCGGCCCGTATCCCAGACTGCCAAACGTCACTTTCTGAACCGACTAGAAACTAGCTCCAAACCTTGACTTTTCCTGCGTTTCTGCACTGCCAACTGCCACCCTGCTCGTGTCCTCCTGGAGCCGGCTTTCGTTCTGCACCGCTTCGGTCCAAGCTGGAGTCCAAGGACCGTGTCGCAGGGCTAAAACACCATGGCAGTGAAGGACGGATTGGGCCCGCGGCCCGTATCCCAGACTGCCAAACGTCACTTTCTGAACCGACTAGAAACTAGCTCCAAACCTTGACTTTTCCTGCGTTTCTGCACTGCCAACTGCCACCCTGCTCGTGTCCTCCTGGAGCCGGCTTTCGTTCTGCGGCTCCAAACCTTGACTTTACCTGCGTTTCTGCACTGCCAACTGCCACCCTGCTCGTGTCCTCCTGGCGCCGGCTTTCGTTCTGCACCGCTTCGGTCTAAGCTGGAGTCCAAGGACCGTGTCGCAGGGCTAAAACACCATGGCAGTGAAGGACGGATTGGGCCCGCGGCCCGTATCCCAGACTGCCAAACGTCACTTTCTGAACCGACTAGAAACTAGCTCCAAACCTTGACTTTTCCTGCGTTTCTGCACTGCCAACTGCCACCCTGCTCGTGTCCTCCTGGAGCCGGCTTTCGTTCTGCACCGCTTCGGTCCAAGCTGGAGTCCAAGGACCGTGTCGCAGGGCTAAAACACCATGGCAGTGAAGGACGGATTGGGCCCGCGGCCCGTATCCCAGACTGCCAAACGTCACTTTCTGAACCGACTAGAAACTAGCTCCAAACCTTGACTTTTCCTGCGTTTCTGCACTGCCAACTGCCACCCTGCTCGTGTCCTCCTGGAGCCGGCTTTCGTTCTGCACCGCTTCGGTCCAAGCTGGAGTCCAAGGACCGTGTCGCAGGGCTAAAACACCATGGCAGTGAAGGACGGATTGGGCCCGCGGCCCGTATCCCAGACTGCCAAACGTCACTTTCTGAACCGACTAGAAACTAGCTCCAAACCTTGACTTTTCCTGCGTTTCTACACTGCCAACTGCCACCCTGCTCGTGTCCTCCTGGAGCCGGCTTTCGTTCTGCGCAAACTCTTCGCCCCTTCTGGCATCTTGTTGCTAGTAAGGCCTCCTCTGACGCGCTCCCCCTGCTGACGGCAGGGGTCGGCGGATATCATAATACATGCATTTAACATGTAGTTAACATGTGCCCATTTTCTTGGGGGTTGACAATTATTTAAAGCCAAATTTTCAAACATCATTTTCCTCAGCCTGATTTCTTGCTGGGCTGGAGGTGATCATGACAGCCTTCCATGCAACGGAGATTGAAAACGCGGACGAAATCTTCCTGCTGGCGTCCCCTGGCCAACTCAGGGTCGCCATTTGAGTATATTGGTGACCCATGGTGACCCTGCTTCCCCAATGGTGAAATCTACATCTGAGGAATTCGGTGCTGCGACCGATTTCGGCCCGTGATGAGCTGCTGACGGGTCTGTCGTCGGAGAGACCGAGAAGTAAGCAACCAACGAGTCTCATTTGCACTTGGAGACACGCCAAGAGCCTACGTCAGATACTGCTGAAATCTGTTGAACAAGATCTGAATCAAAACATGCGAACCCCAGCTGGCCTGGGTCTATGCAAACTTCATGCAAATCCAAACACCTTCAAAATGCTACAAATTACTGTATACAAATTGAACCCTGGCAGGTTGAAGTCTGCTGAGAGTCTGGCAAACCTGTACAAGAGCAAAACTGACGGGTAATTTTACAGCATCTTTTTCACGGCTGGAGCAACAATCATCAACATGGTTATGGCTCAACATTATCTGCTGCATTACAAATTGAATGTTTTAAGACTAAAAATGACCAAATCTTAAGCGAATCCACATTAGCGTTTTGAAATATTGTTGCCTACCAAGATCATCAAACCAAGGCCGGGCCTGTTTAAGATTGTTTTGGCATGTTGTAGCTGAGAATGTCTGATTGCTTGGGACCGGCCGGATGAGTTCAAATCAAATTCGTCCACGGAAAGCTGCTGAAGCGCAGCGCAGGTCCCAATGTGAATCAATGTAGACTTGCGGAGAAACATGTTTTTTCCAAGTAGCGTAGTGACCAGACACCGAAGGCCAAAGACTTTGGAGGACTCTGACAATCCGCAAAGCTTCGGATTGAGATGCCAGGAGTTCGCCCTTCCTCTACAACAGATTCCAAGGTTTTCCAGAAGGATCCAACATCCAACATGAATTGTTGTGCTGAACATGTTCAAAGATGTTCCCTATTTGTGTTTGAAAGTCCTTCAGGTGTTTTCGGTACCATGAAAGGCCTGCATGACATCCATCTGAAAAGGCATCGTGACGCCATGGACGTCATGTCACGATCGCTGCGTGACCCTGACAGGTACTTCGAGGCGATGAAGCCAATTCTACGAGCGGAGCCTAGCTGCTGTCCAGCCATTCGGATGCTTCGGAGATCTTCGGATCTGGGATTACACTGATTACACCACTTTTTGGACCCAATCCCATGTGGCATGGGGGTGCACTACGATGATCTACGATCCACGTTTGACATGAGACCACTGGATGATTTTTGGGTCTGGTCGCTTGGGGCCAAGCCAAGATAGGTCCATTCAAAGCGACGTGTGCTTTCAGGAGATGACATGGGAAAGAGTGAAGCCCCGAGAGAGTAGTCGCTGGTCAGGCAACGATAAGGATCTCTTCTGCGTCAGTGCGTGGAACGACAACGGCCGCAGCCCCAAGCCCTGAGCAACTTGTGGTCGTGATGTGATGAGCTGCTAGAATTGATGGGAAAACCTGCCGGAGCCTCCTCTATTTGAGCCAAACATGGCAAAACCAGTCAAAACGATGGTTTCCTGTATAATTATATGTTTCCTAAAAATCCTTAAAGCAAGCGATTGACAGAACTGGTCGTGATAAGCAGAAGTGGTTCTGTATTCTTCCAGTGATGCTATGGCGATGAGACCATGAGGCTATCAGAACTTGGTTCTTGATCCGAAAGCCGCATTTCGGACTGCCTGAAACCAAGCCTGGACTCGTCATTGGTGCTGAACAGTAACCTGCCATGTTGCCGTTCCGCAAAGCTGATTTTTGTGGTGTCAAGATATGCTGTTTTTCCAACCTAGATGGGATGATGACAGCATGACTTTCTATGACTTTCATATTTTTGGGTTGAAAGTTGACACCACAAGAAAAATTGGACATAGTTGGACAGTAGATCTACCCACATGATCTGAAATTCTGAAATGTGAACCGGACCTGGGTTGGCCAAGTCCCTTTTAATCTCTTTCAATCCCTTTCACATCTTTCCTTGTTCCATATCACGTCATACAAAATATGCACCAAATTCACATCGTCACTGATCATCATTTTCCCTGAGATTTGAGTTGGGGGGCAGTTGATCCATTTTGCTCCAGCATTTTCAGAGAGTCATGGCACCGAGGACTTCTTTCCGGGGCTCGGGTGGATGATGGCAGGGCATCCCAAGATGGAACTGTACTGTACATATCTGTAATTATCTGTTGACTTTGAAACCTATGAGACATAATGAGACATAATGAGACATAATGAGACATAATGAGACACTGGAAAAACTTTGTAAACGATTGAACAAACAGTTTTTCCACTTAACTTTGAAGATTTTAGATTTTTGTTCCCATCTTTCAGGACAAAGATCTGTGGGACGAGTTGCGAAACCACTGGGCGGTGCTACCCCGCTTTTCTGCTGCCAGCTGTGGCTATGGACATCTGGATGGAAATGAGTCAAGGATGCTTCGAAATCTTCAAATTTGATGGACATGCATATAGATGGAAACAGATTGAACAACTGATGCACATGGCTGCTAACTTTTTTGCTTGTTTTAGATTCGGACGATTAATTCGCCCAAAACATGTTTTACCCTGACCGTTGCCTCTTCTTAGGCGTTCAATTTGAACTTGCAGCGCACACGTCCCCGTCCTGCATTCGCAAGAAACACCTGATGTGAAACACCAAAGTTGGGTATGGAAGATACGATTTTTACACAATTTTCCACTGGGAATGGCAAAACACAGAACATCTGATTCCATGTCATTTTTTTGTACCTTTTCCCGCGCTGTAGCTGTTTGTTTCCAAAGTGAGGCCAAGATTCATCAAGTGCCAGACTGCGCGACTATCAATTTCTGTCCTACTTGGAATGATTATCCATTTTTGGGGGAACGGTTTGAAACCAGCAAGCAGATTGTGACGATTCAGCTTGATGCCAGCAAGATTCATGATGATTCTCCAGGCAAACCGCTGTGAGTTGAGTGCACATCAGCGAAAAAATTATATTTATTAGACAGACATGGATCATTTCAGATCATTTTCCAATTGTTCATGATGAACATTTATGTTGAAACCAGTGTAATTCCAATCCAATCCCAATGAATCAGTTTTTTTTTAAAACATATATTTCCACCATGAAAAGTGAACACACTACCAACATCCCAAGAAATATAAGAAATATCCCAGGATATCTCAAGATTCCATTGATTTCTCAGCGAATGCCTTACCTCGACTGCCTTGATGTCCAGTTTCTTTGCCTCGCGACGCGCCTCGCGAGCGCTTTTTGCGCCACTGGCGGCAGTTGCGACCACATTGCATTGGCAGAGGCTGGTGAACTCCAAAGTGCGAAAACAACCAATGTAAAACATGACCCACAGGATCCATGTATGGTATATATACTAACATAAAGGGGGTATATTGATGGTAAATGTTACCATATATAGCATACATGGATCCGTCATGGGAAACATGATAAATTTATAAGACAACTGAGATCATACTGTACCAATAGAATATATTTGGGTCTTGATCTAGCAGAGTTATGCTTGCGATAACCGTTCATATCATGCTAAAATCCCACGTGACAGTTTTTCTTCGAGTTTGCGAAGGTAACTTTGTTTTTCGTGAAAGATTGCGATAGTTTATTCTTTGCAAAAGATTGCGATACTTGGATATCATGAATCGTAAGATACACAACACATACTGTACATATCACAACATGACATAACCCACAGGGAGATTTTAGCGAAAGTTGTGCAAAAGTTCTTTGCGATGGAGCGGGCGCATGTGAAAGTGCATTTTGCAAGGAGGTGGCCCAGTAAGCGTTACTGTACAAATACATGCCGAATAAGAAAAAGTATAGAAACAGTCTGTCTTGATAAGGGATTCTGTGATGCTACCTGTTTGCAAGTAAATCTTGACAATTTGGTAGGTACTGACACAAAAGACATTCCCCCCATTGGCCCACAGAAAAATGGACTTGGAGTTCGCAAAAGTTTCGCGGAAGCAACTTTATTTTGTATATTTCGCGAAGAAGGGCCGTTTCTGAAAGCCACATTGACTTGGATATACTAGGACGGAATAGAATATAACGGAATATCTCTTGGAACATCTCACTTCACTGCTAGAGTGGTTGAGTTGTCTAAATCAGATGAGACACATTTGCACTGATTCACCCAGAGATTCACCTGTAGAATGGTGGTTTTGAATACCCCAGGAGGTCCCTGCACAGTGAGGGCAAGCTCACCTTCCGAAGATTGAGGTGCCACGGCTGCCACGGTACGGCCAATTGCACAACAAAAACAGTGGTGGATGGACAGAGGTATTAGCTTCTACCAAGATATACCAAGATAGTTTTGGATATTTGCATATTCCATACTTAAATACTTACATACTTACAATATGATTGTATTATGTGTAGTAAATATACGTATATTATACAATATTATATTATATATAATGAATTATAATGATATGATATATATATATATTATATAGAGATTTATATATTTGAGTCTTTTGGTTGGTTTTGATTGTTACTAGTTTCTGGTTGCTTGATCCCTAGTTGGAATGATATTTGGATCCTGAGCTCTGATCACTTCAGCCATGGCTGCTTGATGCTTGGGATCATCCACTGGACTGAACTCTCGATGCGGAGACACTGATATGGACATGTACAAATATAGATATATAGTTAATATAGTTAATAGAATAATGTAGATCGATATATTACATATGTTTTTTTTTGTGAAATATGTTTAGACATCCATCATGTCGCAGACATGAAAATCCTGCAGCACTTGCTTTCAGGGGTCCTCGTGAGGGTGAGAAGAAAGAGCTGAGAAATCGCAGGGCAGCCCAATTGGATTGTTCCAGTTGGATGGTTTACTGCCAAAAGCCAAATCTGTCTGTTGAAACGGGTCAGATTCTAAGGGCGAAATCCCACAAAAAAATAATCATCGGGTGTTTCAAGCGGTTTAATGCCCATGTATGTATACTACCAATATATATATATACACAACAATATATATATACACCAATATGATGCCCTGACCCACTTCGAGAGCTGAGGTCTTATCAAACATACAGACTTCGTTTATCAATGCCTTAGCTATGGGAAATTGGAAGACTACTATGTGCTCGAGAAGGCTCGGGATGATGGGAATCCACCTGACGGAAAAACACCTCGACAACCACTAGGTTGATTTGAATCATTTAATGAACATCAATCAGCCATTTGGTGGTAATTTTTTGGGATGTTTCTTGGGAACTTCGAGCTCCGGAATTCGGGCCGGCACAGCGTGTAGGAACTGGGCTTTGGATCCTTCGGCACCATCTACATGGCCAAGCACAAGGCGAGGATTGAGAATCATGTTGGTGATGCTACTCATCAAACAATGACGACATGGATGTGCAGGGTAAGATCTTAGGATGGGCATTGATTTTCCACACAATCTGAGAAAGCATTTGCGAAGGGGGTGCTTGAACCATGTGAAGTGTGTATTATCAGAGCCTTGAGGAGCCGGAAGCATCACGTTCAATTCAGTATTTGATGGTCAATGTTTAGAATTGACATGAAATTTTGGTTTTCAGAATTTTCTGACAGTTACATATTCCTGCAAACGACAAGCAAACTGTGCTTCAGTATTTGAGTATTCCTGAGTTGTGATCCTAATTTCATGCCTAGAATTTGGTGGCACAATGATTTCCAGCTGCATCTTGCGACAGTTCTTGGACTTCAAGTTTGCCGCACCTTGGCTTGATCATGAGATGTTCTTCAGTCTGTGTTCCGCATCAATGATGGATTCGCTGAGCGATGGATAGTTTTGCCAGAGCTCAACCTCAGAGCTTTGCCAGAGCTCAACCAGAGAGCTTCTGCATGATTCAGCATACGTGTGGCGGGGTAGAAGCAACTGCGCAATTTTTTAACGTATGGCAATGCAACCTGTCTGAGGCAGACTAAGTTTTGTTGCTAGTGTAATTCCCAGAAGAAACCTGGGAAGCCGTTGATTAGGCATTGGGTGCTTTTAGCTCTGCGAATTTCGGACACCATCTGCTACTGTAGCGGGTTTACGGATTTTGTGACCAACCAAATGGGGGCTTGAAAAAATGAAGGTACCCTCTGGTAAACTAACATAGCTATTGAAAATGGCCATTTATAGTGGATTTTCCCATTAAAAATGGTGATTTTCCATAGCTATGTTAAATTACCAGAGGGTACCCCAAAATGGATGGTTTCTAATGAACAATCCTCTTATAACTTCTAAAGCTCCAAAAAGAGTCTTGAAGCCTGCGCCTGATCAAGGGGGTCTTTTTTGCAATGATCAAGGTGAAAAAAGTCCCCAAGGGTGAAGATGACGAGAAGGTGTCACTTGGGTTGCACGAGACGCATGGATGGTCTCATACTGTAGAAGACTCATTTCAAAGTCCAAAATATCCAGGTACAGTACGATTTAATGGGTCAATTTTTGCCGGATCATAATTTTGTTTTGTTGGCTTCATGGAATTTCATGGATTTCCCAGTTCCAGGAGCTGATGGGACAATTTCCTGTAGATATTGGTGACTCGACCCAGGAAGGCCTTGCTCATGAACGAGATTCACGCCTTAATGGATCTCGACCACCCGCATGTAGCTTCTTGGTGAGGGTGCAATGAAAATCGATGAACACGTTGGCAAAAAAAATGCTCACCTATCATCAAGCCCTGTGCGTGTTGATTTCTCCTCATCTCAGAAGAAAAAAAGGATCATTTGTGTATTTTTGGAACCTTTTGGGAGTGGGGAATGGTGCATCTCTACATCTTTTTGCATTTCCCATCAACTATCATATTCTTTTTCCCATCAACTACTGTATCATATCCATTCATATTCATATTCCCATCACATCCCCAGCATATCCCCATAATTAATCATAAATATATAGGAATAGTGAATAGTATCAATCATAGATTATAACAGTATCGCCATCCTCATACAGCAACAATCCAGCCGAGGTGAAGCTGGTTCGCTATTTTGATGAGGGGAAACATATGTATTTGGTGTTCGAATTGTGCGAAGGTGGGCGAAAAAGCTGGTCTTTTTGTGGATCTGGAGCCCTAGATGTGTTGGGCCACTGATTATTGATGGCAAAACATCACATGAATCCATGATGATAATGATGATTATGATTATTATTACCGTTATCAGTATCAAGACCAGAATGGCCGTTTTTGTTTCTCCCATGTGAATCTTAAGTCTTTTCCTATTGGTTCTACTGGTTGTCATGGTAATGATAACATAACATAACATAACATAACATAACACAGCATAACATAACATAACATCACTATTGATTTGGATCATAATCATACCAGAATGTATTAGTGGAGTCCAGATGAGATAGATATACTTGAAACTTATCAACTGCTTGCAACAAGATGATCTGCTGTAAGCTGATGTAATTCACGAGGAAACTGTCGCAACTCGTGGTTTTTTTTGGGGTTTGCAGCATCCCTTGGGCCGCCAGGACCAGATCTTCTGACCAGACTGGAAGCTGGAGGAAAACTGAAAGAGAAGGAGGTTGGAATTTCATCCATTTCATCCAACGATCGCTATTAAAAACCATAAAAAACCATGGTTCAAAATGATTGGAGCCCCCATTTTTGGGTCACAAAAAAGGCTACCCAGATGGTTCCCATAGCCAGGGAATGATCCCACGATATCCCAACGTTCCCAACGAGGCGGCCAGCACGATGCGGCAGATGCTGGCGGCGCTGAAGTGTTGCCATGATCACTACATGGGGCATTTCGATGTGAAGCCGGAGATACTCAGCAGATCCCGCGACATTCATGGGTCAGGATCATTCCATCATGGTGAGGGAGCTTGCAGAAGAGTGCACTCTGCCCATGGCTTTTGCTTTTTGTTGCAGTGGTAAATGGGTAAATGTTTAGCGCTATCCAATTTGGATATGAATCGTATGAATCAAAGCTCGAGAAGAAAGAAGGAGAGGTAAATCCAATGCTGATAAATTGCTGATAATTACATTTCTTAAAGATGTTACAGTACTGTACTTTTATGAACACAAGCTGTTTCTCTTCCTGGCTCGGCCTGCTAGACAGCTCCTCTCTTGCCACCGGGGGCTGAGGAATTTTATCTATCGCCGCAAGGACGACCATTGGCGATTTTTCTTTGGCACATCGAGGGCCAGGGATCGCCAAATATCGGTAATGGATGGTCATGGTATTCATGGAGGTGTGATTTGCAACACGAACGCAGCACGTAATTCAGGGGAGAAAAGGCCAGTACTGACATGCTCTTCAGGTGAATTTGTGTATTTCGCCATTGCATGATTTGATATACAAATAGCAATGAATGCAACTGTGAGTCCATTTGACACACTTGGGGACACCACCAAGTTCGCTTAGTCATCTCGTGGTGAGATGTTTTTCACATCGGGGTTTATCGGGAGCATGGTGAACCGCCCTTTCTGTGTAATGAAGAATTGGATCCTTCAGAGGGTCACCCTTGGTATGGGACCGGCCGGCTGTTCCTTGAAGGATTGTGCGAAACTGAAGATGATTGATCTGGGTTTGGCCAGCCGCTTCAAGCGAAGCGCCCTGGCCCACCTGCTGTGTGGGACGGCTGGTTCAAACACTTGGAATTGCCTGCTTGTTCGCTTCTTACACATTTCAACAACTGTTTGAATCAACGTGAGTGTATAAATTAACGCAGATTACACCATTCATGTCATGGAGTGACTGCATGATTAGCACATATCAGCACTAGAAACCCAGCAGACTTGGCAACTGCTGGACCCCTCCCAGGCAGGCGAGAGATCCGCGGAACAAGCGCGTACATGGCACCGGAGATGTGGGATGCTGGTCAAAAGTCCTGGAGGTGCCACAGGTCTAAGAAATTGGATGAAATTTGTGTGCGAGTCAGAGGATTTATTGGGAAATATTGGGAACTTGAATTGCTAACATGATAAGTGAGAGTTCATAAACAATCTATCAACATCTATCTACTCAACAATTCTAAAGTGACCACAGAATGTCCCATGCCAAGCTGAAGGGATCATTCTGAGTCAGCTGAGGATGGCTTTTTTGGCCCCGAAGCCGATATCTGGGGCTGCGGAGTGGTCTTTTTCTGCATCCTCACAGGCAGCTTGGCAAAGACGACAAAGACAAGCAAAGACAACACACCTGAAGAAGCTTTGACACATATCCCAATTCCATCCAGTTCACTCCGACATGAGGATTTTGCGGTGCATATTTTTATTAGCATTTTTATGCATATTTTTCTAGTGGTTTCCAACAAAACTGTCGTCACCTGAAAAATCATCAACCGCTTAAAACCGCTGCAGGCGAGCAATTCTTCCCTTCCTGGCTGGAGGATGATGAGATCAGACCTTTGGCACGCGACAGGAAGTGGGTGAGAAGCAGGTTGGGGGGGGCCACCCATACCCTCCGGTTATCAAACATGGCAATGGAAAATCCACCAATTTATTGACGTGTTTTTTCCATGAAAAACCTCCATTTCCAATTGCCAAGTTTGATTACCGGAGGGTAACGACTCCAGATCGGGAATGTGGAAGATAGATTTTGCGAAGATTTTTCTTATATTTGTTGCATTGTGTTGGACCGAATGAAAGATCCCTCCCAAAGACCGCCCTGCCTCCGCAGGTTGCGAATGCTCAAAGAACAGCAGCTCTCAAAGGACATGGTTACCATTACCATGATTTGTTGCATTGTGTTCTCTGGTTGGTGCTCTCAAATAGTTTGTGAAATGATGTATTAAACTATATGAAACTACGTATATTAAACCTATTAGAATTTTCAGAATGTCTCCGCCTCCCAGTTTGAGATGAACATAGATGAACTATCTCCCTGGGTCCATACCCATTGTCATTGCCAGGAGGCGGTGGATTTGGTGACCAGCATGATGCGCCACGACCGCCACACACGGCCCACAGTACGCGAAGCCTTGCAGCATCCCTTCTTTCAGATACATAGCGAGAAGGCGCGATGGTCCCATATGGTCCCATGCTCCCCCAGGGGCCAGTTGGAAATCTGTGAAATCTTTGAGATGACATGGGGGCGCGATTTGCACCAATGATGGCTTGTAATTTGTTATCGAATTGATTGGAATTGAACATGAAGGCAAAGTCAGCACCTCTGCAGGTGAAACGGCGTGAAGGGTTTTACACATGGTTCCAAGAATAGGGTGGAGGGAAAATTCACAAGAGCCCCTGTATATCCCTGTATTTGCTAGGCAAAAACATTGAACAACCAGGCGCATAGACATGGCGATCGAATCCTGCGGGGCCAAACCAGGCCGCAGCAGAAGCTTTGCGACAGACAAATCCGCAGTACTACCGAGAGCTGGACCGACAAACAGAGGAGTGCTGGGAATTTGGGCTGGGCTGAAGGCCATATCTTGGTGCTTGGTGTGTCCCATGTGTCCCCCATGTTTGGGCAAACCCATCTGTACCCACTTTATGGATGATGTGACTATGTCACAGAAATTCGGCCCCTGTAGCAGAATTTCGTCTCAGAGAAATGAATGCAACGAATCTTCTGAAGCTAAAAGAGCTTTCTTCAACATTTTGCTGGTGTGCATCGTGCAGGGAGTTCTTGATCGCTTGGTTGAACATTTCGTTGAATTTGCTTCGGAGCCTGTGATTGTGCGCGCAGCGTTGCTCTTGAATCTCGGTGGCATCGGAAGAAGAGATGACATGTCCTCGTGAAAAG